TAGAACTGGGCATCAGAGGCTTAAATGGCCCTTATCCCATTCATCATGAAATATCCCAAAGGGATATACATAGGAAAGTTGTATTGGTGGTTAGGAAAAGAACCTGAAATGAGATAAAATAATGAAAGGCACATCTTGGCTCAAATATAAGGTTTTAAACATCTGTGTATAAGTTGCTTTTATATAGTGGTGAAGAAAATTATTCCAAATTAAATCTATTAAATTATATGATTTATTACCACTCCAGTTATTAAAATTTAATTTCTTTAACAATCGAGATTTTTTTATACATTTATAGCATATATATAAAATTACTTCCTTCCAAAGAAAAAGTAGATCATGTTAGATAGTTTGAAAAAGTGAATAGATTTACACAGCTCGAAAACTAGTTGAAACTGAAATAGGTTTACTACCAGCTTTTCATCTTTTCTCTCTCGCTTTCATCCATGCTTATAGACATTGAAAAAGTTTCAAAATTAATGAATTTGTTATCGATTTTTTACAGCTTGTGGCGAATCTGATTTCACTGAACAGCGCATTATTAATGGAAAAGTGGTCCAAGATAACAGGAAATATCCTTGGATTGTAAGTAATTATTTTTCAATGTTTTAAGAAGTCTAGTAAGCTTGATAACTGTGTTTGTTTCTAAGTTTGTTACTTTTGATTGTTTGTATGAGAAATTAATTTTTTTTTCATTTAGTAAATTTACGTAAATGGAATGGAATTTGGTTTTCATTTAATCTTTAAAAATAGGCTTTAATGCCATTTTTGAAAAAAAGAAGAATTTTCTTTAAAGTTTAAAAATGTCCTTGATATATTTTAATTCATCAAATTTTTAACAACTATGTTTTATGATAAGTTAAAATTTTTGTTCTATTTGTTATCAAGAGGAGTAGAAATTTTATATATATGTTTGAGCGCGTTCAATTTTAAAGATGTAAAAATAAAATATTTTAAATATGTTTGAAAGTACAAGCTACATGCAAAATAACTGAATATATGGCATATATTGAAAATAACTCAAAGTTGTTCGTATCAGTTATTAAAATTACCATCAAACTTTCTAAAATAACCATAAATTCCAGTTTTATACTAAAAGAATGTGAAATTTAAGTTGAAAATTTCCTTATTTTGGCGGAAACGAAGTCATAAACTAAACTGAAAGTTACGACTGTTTTCGAATGCTCTTTCCTTAGATTCAATAATGCTTTTTTTTTTTTACTAAATAATAGGCTATATTTACATAGCTGTTGTGATTTTTTGACTGTTATTCATGTCTATTAAGTCAAGTTTATCATATCTTTAGCCAATGAACTATATGACAATTCTGAAAATGGTGCAAACGTATATATATATATATTACTTAACTTTAAAAACCATTTTTTATCAACTTCAATAGAATCATAATTCAGAACATAAGATACTTATTTTTTAGGTGTCTATATTGGTTTCTGATCATCGAGTAATGAGACACTGGGGTTTTTGTGGTGGAGCTTTAATTTCTCCAACCTTTGTCTTAACGGCAGCGCACTGTTTTCCGAAATTTCAGTAGGTATTATAATTTTCTCGCAATTACACACTGTCCTTATGGTTTTAACCTTAACTGATAACTATGCTTATTAATTTGTCAAGACGCTATCTTGAGTAACGATATTAGATTCTAAAATCAGAGATGTCAACTAGCACCAGACAGCGGATAAATATTTTCGAGCGGTATACATTTAATATATCATTCTTGTTTTAGTAAATTCGATTTATATGGTTTTTACTCACTACTACTTCTAAATAATTCAAAGACGTATCTGATATGCCATTTTGTTTCAGTTTAGCAGCGTTGAGTATTTTATAAAATTAGCCAAATTAACTGAAAATCAGCAAATTTTCGTTTCGAGTTCTCTGCCGTTTTTTGAAATATTTTGTTCCTTCCGGAGCATTTGGCATTTATGTAAAATGGCCTTTTTTTTAATAAACACAACTTCTTTTTCGACGTGTTCGGAAATTCGATCCCCAGAAAAATATGAGTGGTAGCCACAATCTGGAAAATAAATATGGTCTCAATGGTTAAGTTAAGTGAAGGATCCAACCCTTATTGTTATCTGTTCTGCTCTGTTCGGTTTAGCTGGGCTCCTGAGGCCAAATACTGGCCCTTTTCCCATTCATCATTAAATACCCATAATGGAAATACATAGTACTGTTTGTACTACTGGTTCAAATGAACCTGAAAATAAAAATAAAAAGAAAGCATATCATAGGTGATACGCCGGCAAGATGGAAATGCTCCATATCGAGATCTTTTTGGTTGTAAGCAGTGGGAGAAGTAGTGTAACTACTTGATCGTCTTTGAGTAGTTCCTGAAGTTCCTTAATAAGGCTTAGGAATTTTTCAGCATTACTGAGCGCATCTTGTGTTTTCCTAGTGAAGATTCTATGATTCCGCATTGGTCTGGCACCACAGCCCGTAAAACAGGCCGGTTGATTGCCTTGGCAGTTGACCCTTATTGCTGTCAGAGACGCCAACTTGCTACGTATAGCGAATAACTAATTTCGAGTGGTAGACATTTATTGTGTGATTCTTAGCTTAGTGAATTCGATTTATAGGGTTTTTGCTCACGGCTTCTAAATAATTCAAAGCCTTATGTGATACTCCATTTTGTTTCAGTTGAGCATTTTATATAATGAGCAAAATTAACCGAAAATTTGCCTTCTTTTTATTTCTATGGATATTGTGATCGCAGCTTCTATATCCACCTGAAATTTAGCACTGTATTCTTTATCAAACGTAACGTTCACTAACCTGTCATTTCTGTTACTATCGTTATTAACATTATTCAGCAATTCACCTATATGTAATGTATCACAATCTAAATCCCCTTATCAATATTGTCCCGTATCCTAAATACCCGTATCAATATTGTTTAACATTATCCTCTTAAAATAATTCGTCAACTTTTGGTTTACGTGCATAAGTATATCGTAGCTGAGATTCACACTAAAGAGCATAATGTCCTTATTTTAGCACACGCCCGACATGTAACATTAAATGCTTGACAATTTCCAAAATATGAGACAAATTACAACAATATCATACAGTGAACTCTCACTTATGCCCAGGAGTAAGGAGCCAACGATTCATACCGAGATTCGAACCTGCATCCCCTGAGTCACTGTGACAGAGCATTAATTACTTAGCATATTTAAGTTTAGACCCTCGAACCATTAAGCTTGGATCCTAGTACGTTAAAATCCGATTACATCGAATTAATTGAAATTTGATTTTTTTTCTCGTCTACTTCTTTTACTTAACTTAGATTTATTATTTATTTATGTATTTTATTGTAACCGTGATATATTTTTGTTTTGTGTAACTGGCAACTTCGTTCCATAATTAGTTTGTTTAGGTTTTACGTGGCTTCGTGCCTGGCTTTGTGCTAAGTCTCTGTGCTAATATATAGTGAAAGCATTGATATCTTTGAGAAAGAATCTTTTTGAAAGAATTCAGAATGCGTCATATATGAGAATTGATAGGCTTGGCTCACTCGAAATAGAATGGAAGGAACGGTTGCTAACGTAAACAAATGGTCCGTTTCAACAACCAATTAGGATCGAGATACTCACACTACGTCACTTGCAGGTATCCTATTGAAGAGATGGAACCGTTAATGTTGAACAGTTTATCTGATGGGGGACTTCGCGTTGTTTAAATTCATTATGTTGAGTAAAATATTTTTCAAAACTTTATCAGTTTCTTTTCATTCCATCCATGTCTGCCTTGTTTCCCATCATTTTGTAGCACAGCATGTTTCGTGCTTTACGACCTAAAATCCAAACAGGGATTAGATGGTGATTTGTGCTTATTTATAGTTGTATATGATACTACCTCCGTAAAGGATATTATATATGGTATCCATATACCTGAGTCAACTCTAATTTTCTCGCTTTAATTACCTCATCACCGACTCTGGTTCAGCGATTTTGATTCTCAGCCAGGATGGCCTCCTTTAAACTGGACTTTTAGTGACTTTAAAATTTTTTTAAATCTCATAGTGTTCTTAGGTTGGATTTGAACTGTCCTCGTCATTCACACCATTTTAATCCACTTTTACTATTTCAACACTATTTTTTGTGATTTTACTATTTGTAACTCGCTTAATTGTTTCCTTAACCCCTTGGGGACGGTTGATTCAGAAAAGCATTCGTACAAAATCAGAATCAAGTTGTAATTAAATAAAAAACGGTAACTTAAATGTAGTCGTTGCTAATTTGACAGACTTACTTTGCTTTTACTTTAATTATTGTTAGTTTAATCATATATATAATCAATATTAATTCAAAGTATAACTAAATAGTTTTATTTTGAACAAAGTAATGGTGAATTAAATAAATCTAATAATTATAACTCCGCCCACAAATAAACTGCTAAAGAATTACTTTGATTACCAGTTTTATCTTTTTACCCTGATAGATACGGTATCCTGCTGGCACGTATTTGTGACAGTCGGCCCGAAAGGGTTAATAGGCAATTTGCCCTATGATTAGTTTTTAAATTTTATGCCATTTGATTGCCTCAATATAAGGGTCTGATGACCTAGAATGGCAATTTATATTTTATTTTGCTTCTAATATTGCTGGTGTTTTAAATTTAAATGTGCTTTTAATCCATATTTTAGAGTCGGTTGACCTGAACTTCTCATGACATACATGCCAGATATATTTGTCATGTTTTCTTAAAGATATAATATTCTGACTAATTGTAGACAGCTAATTTTGTTCAACAGTATTGCTCGCCCGCAAAGTTTACGGGCTGTTGCCATATGACTTTTGTATTTTATGTATTTTATGCACTTTAAGTATTTTATGTTCTTTACTGTTTTTACTTGGTTTTAATAAACATTTACCCGTATGCCCTGAATTGGGGCAGGTCGGGGAAAATATTTTCATGGCATCCATATCAAAACTTCGTTGTGTTTATTTTCTACAAATCTTAAATTAGGAAGTTTTGAGTTTCGCACTCACTGCCATACTTTAGTTTATTATACAAATGCTGAAATACAGGTTCTTTTCTCTTTTCCTCTCAGACCTGTAACGTGCTCGAAAATGCCTTTCATGTGCGAGGCACTAAAGGGGAAAAATATACTTGTTGGATTTTTAGGCGAAAATAAACATCAACCCGCTGAAACAGTACTTGTCAAACGGGTCATTATGCACCCTAGAAGAAAAAAGGGTACACCTGGTACTGACATAGCACTATTAGAATTAATGCATTCCATTTCTTGCACAGAATACACTAAACCAATTTGTGTCAAACCACCAGAAAATATTATTATACCGGGCAAGATAATGCATGTTGCTGGTTTTGGTCGCACAGCAATACACAGTAAGTATAGATTTTCCTTATAAATAAAGTGAGCACTTTTATTCCATGCAAGCATTTTTTTAGCAGCAAATGTTCTGAAATATTGAGCTTTATTTTAACAGTAAATGTTTTGAAATAATTTACGCACGGCAAAACTGTTCGCACAGTGTAAATTATCATGCTGTTACATATGAGGAGTTGGGTTGTTTTCACCTATGTAAGATTTGCATAAGGCGAGAAAATTACTTACTTCTTTTTTAATGTTAATATCAGCAATTTTGGAATCTTGTTACAGATTTGCGATAATTGTCTAAGATTGCTTTTAGTATTATAGTATTATTAAAAAAGTAAAAATGTTTTTAACTGCCTATGGTCATCTTGGTCGGCGCAAAATTTTACGTGAGTAAAATGTACACCATTTCTAAAATTTCTAAAAAAAATTGTGTCGATAGTTTTACCGTGCTAAATCTTCTGAAATAAAGATAATAAAGGTTATTTACAAAGACTATTACAGGAGTTAATATAGAAGTGTTCTCATTATTTTGTCCCTCACCTGCATCTTTTTAAGTAATATACTGAAATAAAAAGTTTAACATTTTGCATCGATTAAATTTCATTTTTGATTATTTCTTTTTCAATTATTTCCTCTCGTTTAACAATAAGCTTTTTTTTAAAAGGTTTATTTAAAAAAAACACATATATATTGCAAAATATTTAAAATTCATTGGACTGATAAATGGTTTTTAGTCAATGTGTTAAGGTTTTTAAAATTCATAAAATTAAAAATAATCAATCAAACATGTACTATGAATTTTAGAAAATCCGCTTTTTATTCTTTTTTATTTTTTACTGATTTATTTTGGTTCTATTAATTACTTCTACATTTCTTGCAATTGATTGTGTCTAGTAGCAGAAAAGAAAAAGGAATTTTTTAGTTTTGTAAAACTAATAAATTTTTTAAATTTTTTAATAAAGCAGCTAAAAGGCCATACTGATGTGTTATCACTATCCAGTGTTATAGATTCTTAATTAAAACAATATACATATATGCTCCGAATTTGAAAGGTATTTGGTCTGACAAAAGTTTTAAATTATAATCCTAAGGTTAAACTTATTTTTTGCAATTGCCTATTAATCGCACACCTCTGCCTTAACAGGCATACGCAACAACAACAACATAATTGCTTATTATCAGATAAGTTGACTATGAATGGTAATTTGAATTGTTAATTTAAAAGTCAGGTGGCCGAGCGGTAAGCGTATCTGATTGCGAAGCCAGTGGTTGCGGGTTCTAATCCCACTCAGGGCATGGATATGTATTGTTGTCCTCTATTGTGTGAAATGTGTGAATGTGGCCCACCCCATAAGCGGGTATCTGTGCCAGTGTGGAGTAGGTAATGTTGCCCACCTTCGTGATACTACTCACAAGGTGCTATCAAGCATAGCAAAATAAACAACACCTACGGCATCTTCCATGGCGAAGAACGATAAGTTCAGTGCCTGCCATTAAAGAAAGTAAACTTAATATTTTGTTTTGAAAATTCTGTTAGATCAGCACTGATAGTAATATTTCTCCTATTTTTTAAGTAAAGGTTTCAGTATTTTACTACGTTAGTATTTAATCGCTTTCGAGTTAGGGAAGATGCAGTTTCGCAGACGAAGTTTCGACTAATATCCTAGTTAGAGTGCTCAAAATTTTATTTGAGAGCTGTGCCTCCATGACGACATCGTAAATTTTAATCGTTTATAGATCGCTGCAAGTCAGGTGGCCGATCTGCAGCGGTGGCCGATCGCTGCAAGGATAATTTACACCGAAGAGCCATTACATTATGACCGCCTTCCATCTATAACAATGGGCTCGCCCAAGTTTTCATGGTTTCTCGCCCAGGAACACTGTTTTCATGGGGCACATTAGGACCCATAATCCTCATAGAACAATGACGAACCCTGACGTCTGTAAGCTACTTGAACATAGTTGCAGACCAGGTTCATCCATTCATGGTAGAATTGCTGTANGGATGGTGTTTACCAACAGGATAATTCACCATGTCATAAGGGTCGAATCGTCATGGAATCGTCGAGGAACATTCCAGTGACTTTCAAGTCATGTCTTAACCCCCAAATTCACCTGACCTTAATCCAATACAGCATTTGTGGTCCTACTTGGAAAACCAAATTCGTGCTGCCACGATACCCCCTCGGAAATCTTAGGGGATTGCAGGACCAGATGGTGAGAGCTTGGCACCAGATATCTCAGACTACCTATCAGCACCTTGTGGAATCAATGCCACGGTGGGTGCTAGCAGTTTTGAGGGCTAAATGTGGTCCTACATTTTATTAGCAGAGTGGTCATAATGTAATGACTCTTCGGTGTATAGAAGTATTTTCGACAATCATAATTCCTATCATTTTTTGAATAGCTTAAATTTTAACTAAAGTTGTGTGCTAGATAAGCGGTAAACAATTTTTTTTCGGCAATAGAATACTAAATAATTAACCTTTTATCGGCGGAACCCCAAAATTTTCAGATAAAGTAAATAAACAAAATTTCGAGCTCATTTGCCAAAAAAAAAAAAAATTTATTTCGAAAATTTTTTATTTATTTTTCAATAGTATTTTACTCTAAATAATTTCCTAAGGGCTAACAAAATATAAAATAGAGTTGAAAATATAAAATAAAATAAAGTACACAGTAACTTAATAAAATGTAAATATTTTTTGATAGGATCAAATTTTAATTAAATCTTTAAAAGTTTACTGGTTAAAACAAATGCCTAAATCAAGGAACCCCTTTAACTCTTCCACGGAACCCTGGGGTTCCGCAAAACACAATTTGGGAACCATTGTGCTAGGTAACAATGAAAAATACAATTTTACTGTGCTTCAAATTTAATATACTCTGACATTTTGATTCGGTTTCCCTTTTTTTTCAGATCGTTCGAAAGAACTTCGAGAAGGTACTTCACGTATTGTTGACGGCAGCGTATGTCGCTCTCGTTTTAAAAAATTCCTACCTTCAAAAGAACTCTGTGCAATGGCAAATGAACGTACAAGGGTTTGCGTGGTATTTATCTTTTCTTTTTCTTCCAAAAATAATAAAAATACGAAACAAATGTTTACAAACACACTTTACTAAAATTTACTTTCTTCTTATATCTGCCATTCCTTATGTGTAAGGTGTTAATATTGAAAACAATGATAACAACTAGATAACTGTGTAAGAAGAGAGCAAAATAAGAAGCCTGTCACTTCATGGATCAATTCAATTGCTGAGTCAGGCACTAGAAAAGTGCGCTCATCAATTCTTATAATGTATAAATGGCCATATATATATATATATATATATATANAGAGCTTTTTATTCACTTTACTTTTTTGGGATTTTATGAACTGAAAAATGACAGTTTTCGTGAGAATGACCCATATATATATATATATATATGTTGCTGTTACTTATTCCACTTGACCCAGAACAAGGCTTGACCTAGTCCAGAAGACTGTTCACCGACAGAAAATCATATACCATCGCCGGACCCTCCAGGATAAAATTCTTCTCTAGCCCATACTAGATCAGGTGTAGCCTGGTGCACATTACATTTTCGGCATACAGGGAAAGTCCTTTGACCCTGAAAAAATGTTAGTCCGCGGGTATGACCACTGATTAGTCTTGTGATAGCTGTCTGCAGTTTCCTATCACCTTTTAGCTCCAGGGCTGCCCCAGGACAATCTTATTGGTACCAATCATGACTAGGTGAAATCCTCCAAGTTCTGTTACCAAGTTCTACCTTTACTTTTGCATAGATTTCATTGTATGATAGAAGGCCACTACTATCTATAGGATCATTAGAGGCCTCCGTGGCCTGTTCATCGACCAGATCATTAAAGTACCGGTTTGCGTGGGAGGGGATCCACTGTAGATGTATGTCGTTGTGTGAAAAGTAAGTCCTCAAAAGTAAAGATATATGATGTATATATATCAAAGTATGATATATATATATATATATTGGGAGTTATTTTTTTAGAAATGTAGTTTAAATCTCTTGTACACTCTTGTAGGTTTGTCATGCTACATACAAATTATCTAAGTCAATAGTATTTCGTTTTTTAAATTTTATGGTTTATGATTTTGTTCTAAGTTAAAATATAATTTTTTAATTATGAACTATGCAAGTCATTACAATTTTCATTGGGCTTGTTTAAGGGAAGTTAATATCTTGTGCAAAGGACTGATTTGAGGACATTCAAATTTTCTCTTATTTCTAATTTTTTCAAAAGACAATACATAACAATTACAAATAAATAACAATCTCTGTTTCCTTGCACAATTACACTATGCATCTCTATTAAGCGATTGCTGTTTTCATTGCTTAATTGCATCACAAAAAATAAGGGAAAGTGGTATAAATCGGAGTATTCCTTCCATTTCCAAAATATCACTTTCGAAAACTCTCAACTATGAAACGTTTTTATTTATATTACAGTTTTACTACATTCAGGGTAAAAAATCTTTATCTGACTGAAACACGGTCCGACCCAATTCAGTAGGCTTGGAAAAACATAAATATTTTTTTCATTATTTTTTTTTATTTATTATTAATTTTTAGAACTATTTTGATACTAGGGTGATTCTGGAACTTCCGGATTCCTTGAACATAAAAACAAGTTTTATACCGTGGGTGTGGTTTCTTTTGGTGACGATCTTTGTATGTTGAACAAGCCTGCTGTGTTCACGAAAACCGGAGCCTACTTGGACTTCATCAGAGAACATGTCAAAGATCTTCCAAAACAGCCTCATGGATAGCCTTTATCATCGAGGTAGATGAAAATGATCCGTCGGGTTTTCTTCATTTTGTGAAAATAAAGACAGAAACTCATGTAAAAGATTTAGTTTTGAACCGATAATATTAAAATATGATTAAAATTCTACTTTTAGTGCCTCTGTACTTACTTATATTTTATTTATTATGTCAGGTTATCTGAATGATTAACGTGATCGTGGTACAATGAGCAAACTACATCACCAAATTATTATGTGAAACCTCGTGTTTATTTTGTTTATAGGGTTTTTACAAAACTGAACAATTTAAAATAGGCGGTAATTAAAAGAAAAACAAAATTTTTGTACTGAAAGACAAAATTATTGGAAAAATGCAACTATTTCGCTAAAGAATAACCGTAAAAGAACACCAATAGTATTGCTGGGTAGTATTGCTTTTGGTATCCGGAATCAGCCGGGAAATCTAAATAATCCGGAAAATCCAAATAAGTTGACAAGCTATACTACGTTATATAATATAGCTCAGGTACCACTTTTCTTTCAAAGTAATCATTTTTAAATATAGAATTTATTAGGTGAGCTATGTAATAAACCAGGCTTTAAAAAATAGCAACCTGTTATAAAGAATGGTGGCTATGATGTGTTTTAATAGTAGACCAAGAATCTCTCTAATCTAAAAATTTAATGTTAATAAATCTCTGCCTCTCTACTCTCAATACCGACGATTAATATCTTCCAAACAAACTTAAGATCGTAAAGAACAATTTTATACAGAAATGCAGGAAGAAATGCAAGAAGGTATTTTTCGAAGAAATGCAGGAAGGTATTTTCTTCGAAAAAATTTACTTTTATTGTAACTGATGCGAAATTTTACATTCAGTATTTGGGGTATCGTCAAAATCCAGAAAACTGGGTTTAAATGTTTTACCCAAAAAAGTGAAGGAAAGTTTGAGTTAATCTTTACTCTTTAACCCTTTCGCGCCGACTGTCACAAATACGTGACAGCAAAAAACCGTATCAATCAGGGTAAGAAGATAAAACTGGTNGCCCAGGTGCCCAGTTGTTTTTAAATAAAGTAAAGTAAGTAAAGAGCTATGTAATAAACCAGGCTTAAAAAAATAGCAACCTGTAATAAAGAATGGTGGCTATGATGTGTTTTAATAGTAGACAAATAATCTCTCTAATCAAAAAATTTAATGTTAATAAATCTCTGCTTCTCTACTCTCAATACCGACGATTAATATCTTCCAAACAAACTTAAGATCATAAAGAACAATTTTATACAGGAAGGTATTTTACTTTTATTGTAACTGATACGAAATTTTACATTCAATATTTGGGGTATCGTCACAATCCGGAAAACTGGGTTTAAATGTTTTACCCAAGAAAGTGAAGGAAAGTTTGAGTTAATCTTTACTCTTTAACACTAGATTGTCTATTTCCTATATAGGGAGGTCTAAAATGAAGGCTAAGTAGAATAAAATATTTAAAACTCTATCAACACATAAAAGCACCCTATACACGTTGATTAGGTCTTTTAACACGTTGAGCGCCGAGTCAGCCATCGGTGGCTGACACTGGACTTTCCATTTAGGCCGCGTCAACCACCAGTGGCTGACACTGACCTTTCACATAGGCCGTGAAAAACAGCTGGAAAAGAGAATTTGTGACGAAAATTTTCTTCCTTGGTACGGAGTCATCTTAAGTGCTGAAGCTGCATTAAATATGATCACTGAAGCATAGCACAATAAAGACAAAAAGGATAAAAAGAAAAGAGAGAAAAACAAAGAAAAGAAATTGATAAGTTTTGTTAACTGCGCATAAGCTGCAAGTATATAGAACTTAGAAAATAATTTAAAATAAAGAGAAAACATGAAAAGTAATAAAGGTAAATGAAAAGAGAAGAAGAAAAAAATGATAAAATTACTGTAATCGAATAAAAAAAATACTGACTTGTTTAGAAAAACTTATTTCAACGTAATTTTGAGGATAGAATTAAATTTATAGTTTTCTTTTTCCTGTAGAAAAAATCATTCACCAATACTTTCGCCAAAACACAATTTTATTCGCTCATTTGGTGAGGTGGCCAATGCTTAGCGCTGTTCCTGTTACGCAGAAATCGGAATTTAGAACAGTAGAACAATGGTTTTCTGATATACCACTAGATTTTTGGGAATGTATATGAAGCTATATATTCGCTGTATTGTTAACATATAATGGGCACAGCAATTGGGTGTTTATATCTGCGTTAAGTCCGCCCCTGGGTTTGGCAATTTTTAAGACCGCTTCCAATGTGGTTGATGGCAATGAATTTCAAAAGATTCCCTTAAGTGATTAGTAATCATATAATAAATAGCTAACTGTGAGCGCATAATATAATGTTGCATCAAAAATAAGTAACGGCGGAAACAGGACACCCTCTTAATGTGCCTTTTGATTTGGAAGAGTAGAAAATCGAATTAAGAGTGGGCGTTTCCGAACAGTTATCCATTTTTGGGGGTGGTATTTGTAGGCTCATCATTATATTGCGCAATGAACCTCATTAATTGAAAGATAATGTTTTAAATTTTAATCCAGTGAGGCAATGATCAAAATTATTTACTTCCACATTATAATGTGTATTTGCATCTCCAGAAACTGATATGAACTTTTTTCTTTTACGAGAAGCATCAAAGCAAAGCACCATAAAGTGGCTGATCATTATTATGCAGTATACTCTTTAACAGTATAGTCGGAAAAAACTACATTTTCTTTTACAATTGTAATAAAGTAGTTACAATAAACTACAACTACTTTTTTTAAAAAAAATTCAGCTACTACAAACTACTTTCGAAATGTACTTCGCTACTCTTAGAAGGCAAACTTAACAGGAGAACTTAATTTTCACCATTATTCAAATTGATTTGGAATTTAAAAAAATTGTCTTAGTCGAATATGTATGAGGAGATCTTAAGTTTTAATTCATGTTTACATGAAATAGTTTTTTTTATTCTGAATCACGTTTTACGAATTTGTTCTTTTAACTTTCAAACTCTATGCTTTTCTTAACAGAGATTTAAGAAATGCTAGGAAATTGTTAAATATTTGTGATTTAAGTAATCAATGCTTTATCATATGCTCTACGAAATAAAGTACAGTGCGAGAAACAAAAACAAAACAAAAACGGACCACCGTGAATAACTTTTGATCTAATAATCGGATCTTCACTTTCTAGGACCCAAACTTAATGATTTGAGGGGGTGACCGCAAATATGCTAATTAATTAATGCAGACGATATTGTAAGTTTCAAGATCAGACACAAAAACGTACTTTATAGTTCCTGCTAAATCAAATTTTAAAAAAATCAGATGTTTGAAATTCGATTTCTCAGTAACAACTCGACCGAGTTCGATTTTGCACCGATTTCTCCGAACAACAAACGTAGATTTTATTGACGGTCGACCACAGAGGCATTCTCATTGCGTACGTTCACGGGCTGATTTGCAAGGAAGGATTGGAAGTAGTAGTTGCCACGAATCGTAACAAACTTCTCATTTTTTAAATCGCATTTTTGAAACTCACTGCACTATTTCTTTTAAAGAGTAGCCCAGTATGGATGGTGTTTTCATTAGAAATGTAAACAATAACAATCTCGAGCTGTATGCCTGCTCTAGTTCCGGTTAGAAAGTTTGCAGCTGCTTACTACATAATATTCTGCGAGGCGATATTTTCAAACGGCTAATTTTGTTTTCAATAAAAGAACAAAAATTAGATAATTTCTGAGCTCAAATCTGCTGTATTTCATAGATATTAATGTTATGTAATTCTGGTGAGTTTGAAGTGAAAATTTTTCTTAGTTATTTAGAGATATATTGTTAAAAAAGGTGACGTGGTTGCTAGATTTTGAATAACTCACTTTTTTGGCAGTCTTGATTCCATAAGTTTATTACTGTTTGTTCTTGTTGCAAGCTGTGCACCATCCTACGTTAGTGTTAACACTTTTAACATTGTAAACACAAGTATTGTTAGCATTGTAAACACAAGTAATAAGTAATTAAATACATTGTTTGCAAGAATCTCAAACTACAATGATGCCAAATGGCTTTAAAATACAACGGAAACAGTAACCCGGAGATTTAGGCCGTACCGGACTTGCAGCTTTCCCTAGGGTAGAAAACACTGTCCATACTACAACCTACGGAAAAAGAAAGTAGCAGCTACAGTAGTTCCGCTACTTCCGACCTCTGCTCTTTAATTTAAAAAATTTTATTTCAAGCTTTTCTCCGGTTTGTTATGTATACATTGAGGCTAAAATAAAGCAATATTCTTTTTTTTAATTTACCACTAATATTTTATATAATCATTTCAAACTATATATATACATCGTACATTAACCTAACTGGGCATGTCAACTAGGTGTATTTATTCCTGCCTCTTGACCGTCTCTGGGATCGGCAAATCAGAAGACCATCTCCGCAAAGAGTTGTTGGCAATGAATTATATCAGCACCTTCTCATGATAGCTAATTATTGAATGCTAATTAAAACATTACCATAAAAATAAGAAACAAGCAGAAGTACACCACCTTGACGTGCCTTTTAGGAAATGGAAAGACGAACTAAGTGTAGGCGTTACATATGCCGTTTATCTAATTTAGTTTATGGTTAACACTTACTTTTTTATACATACAATAAAATTCTACCACTCGAAATTATTCACCGCTTTCCGGAGTAGAGATGGGTCAAAAGTAACTGAGAAGTCACTGTGACAATCAAGAAATCAGAAATATACAACAAATCAACAATAATTTACAAATGAAAATTTTTAGAAATATGCCTAAATTTTCTAAGTATTTTTTGCGTATAATGTTAACTATGATTTCACGTGCGTGAAAAAAGTGTTTAGTGGTAACGAAGCTGATCTCCTGCTCAGGAGTTCCTGATTTCGATTTGTGTCGGTTAAGCATCGATAGTTAACATTTTGTTTATATCTATCAAAATTTTGCGAAAAAAATTCTCAGCACAATTTAGGCTAGCAATTTTATATCTACCGAAATTTGATCGACGTAAGTTACATGCTTAAAATAAAATTTGTAATATTNGGATAAAAAAAATAAAACATTATTTGAAGTAGATT